CCCTTGGACTCTGTGGTCACGCACCCAGGTCTCTAGGACCAACACTAATCCATCTTCCTTCTCAGGTCCCTCAAGAAACAACCTTCCACAGTGTGGGCGGCCGGGAAATGACAACCGCCCTCATACCCGTAACAGCACGAGAGACTCTCGGATCTTTTTATCAGTTTCATCTTCAATCATAGTTTTATTATCTTAAAGGATCATGACATTTACCACACTAAATATATGCGTGCATGACACAATATTATCACGAAACGTCAGCTTCTTCCACGGTGTGAGCAGCCGTGGAGTTACATATGCCTTTATACCCGTAACAGCACACGAGACCGAATTGGTCACAGTCAGACGCTTCTTACACCCCCTGACATCCCTCTTATCTCTACGAATCACCCTTCCCACATCCGTTTATGACTCTGAACCGCTAATGCAAAATATTCGAGTTCACGAAACGTTATTTTTGATCTCCGATAAACCCAGTTCTAAACCACATGTTGGAGCGTTCAGTGTCCTATAGCTTTCCTTAGCTAGAACCTTAGAATCTCGCGCCATCGATGTAAGCTGCAACTCCAAAATGCGCTTACAGGATGCGAGTGGCGTCATTCTTTTGACCTCATCATTTAACAATAAACAGTTCGATTTACTCTACGAGTATCTAGAAGCCCTATTGCTGCTTCTCAGGGTCTCGCTATTGTAGGTATAGCATTGAGTCCTAGGGAAGAACTAGCCTCCGTAGACTGCATTCCGACAGAAAGTCGCTTATGCGCTCTCCGACTGAACGGGACAGTAAGGCCTCGGAAAGATAGAGGCACTCACAGTTGCCTCCTCGTTGTCTCTACCCACGCTCCCACTGACTGCAGTTCAGACGAGGTGAAAGATGGGTTTTACAGGAAGCTTTCGGACCTCTTCAAGATGTCGTGCGCTCTGTTATAGTTATAATGGCTGGTGACTTCAATGCTCAAGTAGGTAGACTAAGTGAGAAGGAAAGACACCTGGATGGATCTTATAGTGTCGCGGCTCAAAGAACAGTCAGTGGCAACCGTCCGCTGCATCTATGCTCAGATAACCGCTTATTCCTAGCAAACACTAATTTTAAGCATAAGGAAAAACATCTCTTGACCTGGCGACTCTCAATGTCGTCTCAACATTGGACCCAACTAGATCACATCACCATCAGCCAACGATGGAGGGGTTTGATAGAGGACTGTTGCTCGTTCTGAGGCGTATGCTTCGATTCAGATCATGCTGTAGTGCGAGCGCGTATTTGTTTGCGCCTTACTGGACGCTAGAAAAATACCGCAAGGAAACCTCCAAGGGCTCTACTTAATGATAATAAAGCTAAGAATATATTTCAGGAACAACTAGAAAAACAGTTAGGCGGCCATGTAGTATGTGATGCCCACCCTGAGGCAGCTTAGAATGACATCCAAAAAGCTGTAGAAACAGCGGTGATGTCTGTTTGTGGGGAACCATTAGGCTAGGAAAAATTCGTGCATCTCAGTAATATCCAGCAACAACAGTTACATCCACCGAACTGATTGACGCTCGTAAAATCATCACATCTGGCTCTGAACATGACGATGAGCGAAGTCAGCTTAGGCGCAGGCATATAAAATGCCTACGCAATGATCGCGTACAGTGATGGGTAGCGAAAGCGAGAGCAATGGAAAAGGCAGCAACGATAGGCAACAGTAGATAGTTGTTCCGAATTATCAAGGAAGCCGGTATCAGGAATCCATTTGTTAGTGAAACCATCTCAGAAAAGGATGGCCGTATCATTCATTCTCAATCCAGGAAATTGTATCGATGGGTAGGACACTTCAAGGATCAGTTCAACTGACCTCCAGCCATACTTCCGTTGCCCATGATCTCTAGTCAACCTGAATGGCAAGTTTATGCATATCCTCAAACTCTTTATAAAGTTGAAAAACCTATAAGAAATCTAAAGCGATGGAAAGCAGTAGACCCTGACAAGTTAAGCCCTGAGATTCTTAGGGATGGTGGTCCATTTTTACCAGTTAGATTGACTGAGCTCTTAGTTAGAATATGGGAAATGTAGGTAAACTACAAAAGTACTCTTGTAACAGTCACAGAGGAATCAGTTTAACTAATATAGTGTCTAAAATATTAGCCTCAATAATATTTCGACAGCTATCTAGAGCTCGTGAAGAGCAGAATCGAGAAGACCAGGCTAGTCTCAGACCTGGGCGTGGCTGTATAGACCAGGTATTCACACTTCAAAAGGTTCTAGAACACAGATATATATTTGGACATCCCATAATAGTTATATTCGTCGACCTTGAGGAGGCATTCGACTCTATCGATCGCCATGTATTGTATCTGTTATTGAAAGGTGTACCAGAGAAGTACATGAACCATATAGAGGCTCTCTACTCGAACCACACTGGTCAAGTGAGAGCTTATGGCGAACTGTCACCGGAATTCGTTACTTCAAGTGGTGTCCGTCAAGGTTGTCCACATTCACCATTCTTATTCAACTTTGTCATAGACATGCTTCTAGAGATAACACTATCTTCATCTGAATTGTCAGGAGTTGGACTTTTACCTGGAGATTCACTTGTCGACTTAAAGTATGCCGATGACATAGCTCTACTTGGCGAAGACGCCAAGAAAATGTAGTCTTCTGACTACCATGAGCAACGATGAAGGCATGTCCGGGACGCGATTTACCCCGTCAAAATGCTTGCATCGGCACCTGAACTAGTGATAGGGAGTGAGTAATGTTTCGTGTAGGGGTAGGCTGAGAGAAAGCTAGGGGTGGCCAAACCGAAACATGGCAAATATCCATGTAGTCACTAACGACTTCACTAAGTTATGTTAGTAGGTGCAGACTACCTGATTAGGGTCCGCCAGACGAAAGCCGCCAATGGTTAGAGACCTTGGACGACATGGCTCAAAATCGCTTGCTATTGCGCAGGTGCATCGATTCACTGTGTTCTCTCAACTTCTAATCTTCTGAATTCCTCATCAACCCTACCTACCTGTATTATACTTCTTGAATAATATCTTCTCCATAACCACTAATTCTTCTACTACCTCTACCACTATATGGTTTGAACTGACAACTGCGTCTCTGTGCTAATGCCGTATAGCAAACTGAGCTTATGTACTTACAAAGTTCTGCGCTGTAACTGATTGGCACGTCAGCTTGGAATGTTGTTTTCTACTGGTAACAAGTATCAACATAGATACACCCTAGTAACGCTATTTTCAAATTTATCGTTCATGATGGAGATTATCACAAATTTAATTATTTTTCTATCACTTTACAAATACAAAATAAATAGGTTGTTAACTTCATACGTCGAAAAATACCTCTATTTGTTTCGTCATACGATATATAACGCTGTGATTATTAATGTTCTTCCGAAGTGAAACAGCTTACCGAATTAAAGATATAGAGGAGCCGAAACAATAGTTAGATGAGAATATAATAGAAGAAGTCATACCTCAAGACAAGTGTCTTATTTAAAGTCTTTTCAAATTATCAATTATATTTGGTATCAACACAAATCACAGGCTATGTTCCACGTGACCTCACTGTGTGATAACAACTGTGAAGATAATCACTATAAAAAACTATAAGCATTACATTGACATACAACTGTTCCATAAAAATCAAGTTCTCGGAAAGCATTGACGGCATTAGATGTTCTAGTAAAAGTCGTGAGTGTTTTATAATGCTTAATTTCTTCCAAACAAGATTTTTCGAATCACTTAGTTGTCTCGAGAAATGGGTTATATTTCTTGAATAGAATATCACAATGAACTTATTTTGAAGATTGCAAGATATATATTCATGTATCTAGTGAAGCACTTATTACCTGCATTAACCAGGTAACTCAAGTACTTATATTCCTCATTAACATGGTAACGTATCAGGAGTAGACACAGAACACATTCCACGCATGTTGTTATGGACAATATTAAACATAACATATTAGTGACATGTAGCCGAATTATATCAGTCTACCAAAGACCACAATACAGGTGCTGTTTAGCTGCGTCATTTCCAAGTCCAAAAAAGCAACAGTATTTTAGAGAAAATCGATACCAACACTAGTCTTACCTACATATTCCTTCAAGAGACAATAAAAGTGATTGATAACTTAAATCATTGAGTACAAGGCCACTGCAACTTTGTTATTCAGTGGCAGTCAAATGAGATCAGGATAACTAAATACGAAATACAGGTAAGGCATTATACTAGATCAAAGAAACGACTGTTTACAGAATATGTAGTCATTATGAAAATAATATAAATGAACGGGTCGCATACGGTTAGATCTCATCCTAGTAAAACATATCATATAATCTTAATGCTACCAATGTAAGGCATACTAATGAGTAAGTGACAAAAGCTCACCTCTGATTGGCAGTACGGTGATTATTTAATAGTTTCAGAATAATATCTAATCTAGTAATTGTATGTCAAAAGTAAGGATGCCTAGGTTTAACCTACAGTTAGTGAGGAAGTCCCATAGATCGTGAAAAATGGCTTTAAAATGACTTGTACAACACGCATTTCCAAAATGCAGCTATTCGAACTTGTGAGACGATTTAGACTGAAAGATAAGCCTGTCTGCATGACTATACTGTTTGTAAAATGAATAAGTCAAGATGGATCGAAAATTTTGTATTTTGTTTATTTATAAATATCAACAGCTATAGCGAAAAACAGTTAAAAATTCGTTATGAATCCGTCTATGCAGAATTTCTTTTGGGTGGATTCTTCCATTAGATAACTCCTTCATTATACGATGTACTTGTTCAGGGCAGTTATCTTTCGATAACAGTAAATAAATGCAGCCATGTGGTGACAGCAAACTGTAAGCTTGATTTAAAAATGGGTCAATCACCTGAAATTCAGTTAAGCAAATGCAACATACAAATAAGGGGGTTAAAAAAGAGGAATAACTAACCAATTTACTTCGATATCACAAAAGCAAATTATGGTTTAAAATAATATGGAGAGATCTATAGCAAGCGTTAAATATACATAATACATTAATATGAGAAAGTCCCAAAATATTAAACTAATCCTAGATTAATAGAACAGCTTCCAGAAGCAGGTAAGTTATGCTAGCAGATTTGTACTTAAAGATGAGAAATGCAGAATGTAAGCAAAGGAGAAGACATTTGGCAATTCCATACAAAAGATTCAAAATGAACTTCAGTATTTTCTTCATCACTATCTAGAAGATACTGTTTGGTGGACAATTCAATGTATTATCGTGTTGACTAATAGTTATGTCTCGGTTTACATCTACACAATAAAAACATCGTGCAGAGCTATCAGTAAAAAGAATGATGAGAGAATACTATCAAATTGAATGAGTTCTTCCTAAAACTGTAATATCCATTAATTTCTGTGATATCGAGGCACCAAGGCTTGTAAAAAAGCCCAAAAATACGCTAATACCTGTAAGGAGGTTTGGAATCACAAGTTTATAACTTTCAAACGGACAACAAACCAAGAAACTGATCTTACTTCTCTTCCTAGTGGCCCACCTGACCATGAAGCAACTATAGTTGAACCAGCCGCTTTGTGTTCGTCTATAGTTGTCGGTACATAGGGAGGATTAAACATGATTAAATCTACACTTTTATATAGTCTAGACAAGAGGGGAGTTGCTAAAGAACAATTAACCACATCGTATGTCACCGATGTACTGGGAACGTTTACGTTAAGCACACACAAAGATGCGTAACATGCCTAAAATCATTGAATAGCTACATACAGTAAGAGATACGTCTGTACATATATGAACTAAAGGTTTTGAAATGGATGAGCACAAAAATGCACTGATAACTCCACTACCGCTTCCGACTTCAAGAGTTATGGTGGGATTTAATCCGGATAGAAATTCTGAATCCAATTCCAAAGCGTCCAAAAATAAGTATGAATCCTCAGATGGTGGATAGACTTCTGAGAACTCTGGTTTGTTTATACAAGATGTTATTGGGGTGGTCATGAGACAGATAGGTACGGATGCGAGGGACGGTTTAGAACAGACCTAAAATGTTGGAAGTATTGTGAAACGAATTATGATACTGACGCCTGACAACAAGCATTTTAGCAGTTTTATGAGAGTACTTTTTGTAAATTGTACACAACAAGATATGGGACGGCTAGGACTAGAGGTTCAACTTTCAACCGTCGCGTGAGATGTGTTTCATTTAGTCTAGTTTCAACAACCACGTGGGACAAGCCTTTGCATTAGGTGATCACAATCCACAAGATTCGTAAGAAAATATGGGGACGACAGCTTAGATGACTTATGCTGAACTACGAGTAACAGTGAAATAATAGGCTTGTGACCAAAAATTAGAATTTACCAATCGATTGACCTCAAGTGTTCCGGCTTTCCGTATTGGGGAGCTAGGTATGTTGAGGGCCCCAATAGCAGAAAAGAAGTTACAGGGCTACTTTGTAAGTTGTATTTGCTGTTTATTCCAATTATCATCATAAAACTATCAGGGACCACTAAGACAGACTCTCTTAAAGGTGAATATATTTTGTGACGTTAACTAGCTAGTATGTATATAGAACACTACGGAGAAGGTAAAATTGAAACAGTAATTACTGTCCTTAACGAACGATTTTTATTATGGCTGATCAGATGGATTGAGCTCATGACTCCACACATCAGGTTTACTTGCCGACACCAAACGAAGATGCCAGTACGAGCGATAACTACATTTTTATACAGGTTATTGCACAAAGTGTAAGTGATTGTTAACTTTCAATCAAGTTTGACTGCAGCACCAACCAGTACATGATAACCATAGTTTTTCACTATTTGACAATAACAAATAAATAGTGCTAATAAAACCTTTAGTTTCTTGTTTGGTAAATTTTTAGATTGATAAAATTTATATCGTTCTTTTTATCCAATGTACATATAATCTTAAAACAGTTTGGCATGACTTGAATGAATATCTCGTAAACCACCTCAGGAGACTTCATTCAAAAAGAGAAGGACATGTAATAAAATAAGAATGTAAATTCAGTATATTACTAACTTTAGTTCAGGAGTTACTGAGTGAGCAGAAGTAGAGGACTGAAACCAATAACCCTCGGCTTTTTTGACCGACCCAACGACCTTGGAATATAAACATGGTGCCACTATCCAATATCCAATATTTAATATCTTTTTCACGACCTAGTGTAAACGAGTTTGATTTCTTCGGGCTCGATTCATGTTCTTTAGGCCCCATCAATGTGTTCGGTAATATCCAGTTGATCGAGATCTAGCCACTCGACTGTTTAATCCTGGTCAGTTGGAAATTGTTTTAGAGTTTGTATGTCTCAGGATTTGAATGAAACGTTTGTTTCAGTGTAGTGGGGTTTCTGGATACTAGAAGCCGTCACATTACCAGTTATTTGCAATGTGGAGAGTAATAAGGGTAACAAGGATAAAATTCTAATGATAATATGAATAAAATTTCAGAACTGAGTAATATATAGATTAATTTACTTTGTTAATTGGTAGTGAAGATTGTGAGAGAGGACCGAAGTGTAAGCAAGGGATAGGAAACGAAGATAATAGGCGAGATAGAATAATTGAGTGATCAGAGGAGATGGCGATGGTAACATCTAGCAGGTCTCAAGATATGCATCATGAACAGCTTGTCCCAGAGGGAGATAATAGTCCGTATGTGAGTACGTGATTATCAAATCTCTTCTTAAAGCAGTCCACTGAGTGGACCAAAAAGGGAACTCCAAAGTAGATACCAAAGTTTATTCCAAATCACAAAATCGACCAAAATATATTATTACAAATAGACGACCAATGTCGTTCTTCTATTTTATGGGTTTCTGGAGCAAAAAAATGCAAACGAACAACCAAGAGAAACGGGAGTCCAAAAATGGCCGAAATAATAATTCAAACAAGTTCATAAGTTAAGTAAAACAAATATACCCAAAAAACACAGTGAAATTAATGATATTTATATAAAGGTTTTGATCAGCAAAATGTCTTCGTTTCTCCCGTAACAGGTAAGATGCTCATATTGGGATGGTTTGGCGTGTTTAATATGGTGTACGCCATTATCAGACCACCTCTGATTTTCCTGTAGCTCAGTGGGAATAATCCCAAGAGCTGGAGTCTATCGTCGTAGGGTGTATTTTTCAACCTCATCACTCATTTGGTTGCTCGTCTCGGCACTCGATCCAAGAGATTTATGTCTCTTTTTAGCAGAGGAGGTTCGATGGCGTTGTGATCCTCCAAGTGTGGGCGGTTATTAAACCAAGGTCACGCTCTGAGGAGACATTAGGGAGCGGACTTCCATTGAGAGTATAGGTGGTTTGCGTCATATGAGGCAGGAAATGCATGACGTGGCACTTCGGTTGGTTGAGTTTCAAACCGTTTTTCACTGCCCATTTCTCAATAGATGTAAGGTCCTTTTGAAGCTCAGTCAAATCCTCTTCGCTTCTAATGGACCTCCAGATCTTCTCATCGTCTGCGTAGATCAATGCCGGTGAGCTAACTGAGCCTAGCAGGTCGTTAATAAATATCAGGAAGAGAAGTGGGCCTAGGATGGTCCCCTGTGAAACTCCCGATGTGGATACTCGCCAACTCGCGAGCACTCTGTTGACCTTGGTGCGAAATTTTCTATTCTCAAGTTAGTTTCTGAGCCAAGATAGGAGTTGGTCAGTGAAGCCCATTTCACAACCTTAACGATTAGGCGTGTGTGGGGCACTGTGTCAAAGGCCTTCGCAAAGTCGACGAATATTACGTGTACCGGTATTTTACGGTCTAAACAGGAGGTACAACTGTCCCTAACCCTTGGGCAGAAGGGCGAGTGGTCAGAAGAGTTGGGCGAGTTATATACGAAGTAGAGGTAGGAGGCGAAAGGTAGTTCTGCCATCGAAATCAGATACGCGAACGGCTAGCCTCAGATCGTCCATCAAGAGCAGAAAATCTTCCCCTTGACATCCTGCTAGATACCTTCAACCTACTAGCAGCCGCCTCACGAGAAGAAACTCAGCGGCAAGCTGATCTCCGTTCCAGAAGGTGTCCTCTCAGACAGTGGCGAACGACATTCAAGGTGCAAGTCAACCCCATGAGCACACGCAATTAAAAAGAGGAGGAGTGTTGGGGATGTTAGATCCCCAGAACTCGCTTGATAAATGTCTTTAATTTGGATTTCATTCATGGGCTGATCAGTTGACCTTGAGATTTGATTTCCCACCAGGAAAATCCATGGCTGTGATTGGTTACTGTGTTATTTTAGTGTGCTATTTTTGTGACTCACCCACGGATGTCTCTGCGGTGTATAAATAAACGCAATTTGTGTGCTTGAATTCATTGTGCTTGCTGGGTCCTTGTGGAATACACTTTCTACGCTAAATTAAGGTTCCTTGCTAGTTCATTTGAGTCAGCGGATCAGGGTAGCTTACCTGGACGCTGGTTTATTGTTTTGTTCTCGTAATTCGACTAAGGTGAACCCGTATTAGTTTCAAGCATACCTAGTGACGAGCATACCAGTAGTCATCACTCGACCACATTATATGATTGTGTTCATCTGTTGCTTAAAATTCAATTCATTAGTTCTAACAACCAAAAATTTTATCCAATTAAACCGCAGAAAACTTTGACTGCATAATAAATTTTTGGAATAATATCACCAGAACTTACTTCTTCACTAAAATAATTAGTGCAGTGCCGTAACACAGAGTATGCCGTACAATTGGTTATGAATGTGTTGATCAATAATCATTAATTTAGCAAATAGCTAAGTGAATCTTACCCATAAAAGGTAAAATGAATACTCAGCAAAATCTATTTCTCTCTAACAAAACAGTACACCTATAAAATATTTAACAGAAAAATTTTCATTAGTGAAAATCGATTGGGCTGTTCAACGTCCTAATATTAATCTCCAGTCAAGGAAATTAAAATCGAAGTATTACGTCAAACTCCTGTTTACCACTTAGCAAAGATTAAACTTTTAAGCCATAGGATGAAGAAAACTGCCATTCACTTCATAGTATCCTGTCAGTCAGTCAGTTACAAGGTAGAACTTCCTACATATGTAGATAAGTGCAGGTTGCTATATCACATTAGCACAGAGACGCCAATATCAATTCAAATCCGATATTAGTAGAGGTAGTGAAAGTATTAGCAGTAATCGGAGAGAATAGGGTTCAAACAATTATTCAATAAGTATAATTCAGTGATATAATTTTAGAAAGACTAAGATTAGGGTGTTGACGAATCCAAAAGATTAGGATTTGAGAGAACACGAAGAATGGATGCACCTGTGCCATCGCAAACTATTTTTAGCCATGTCGTTCATAGTATCCTCTTGAAAATGTTCAACGTTTTAAACATATTTTTTCAGTATGTATGTATTACTTCCGTTTAATGAATCATGTTCTTCATACTCATAGATTTTTTAAACTCAATTTGTTAAATGGTCTTTGAAAGTAAAAGTCAATTCTATAAAATATTCCATTATTTCATAAATCATGCATTATAAGTGATTTTAATAATTGACGATTATTTCCTAAACTTCATTGTTTATCTGTTATTAAATGTGATGCAATTATAGAATATAAGGGAACGACAAGTTAGATAATAGTTTTCTTGTTCTGATGTCTGGATTATTAGACTATGAGATCCCAAGTATTACTAACCAACAGTTGATCTCCTTATGGAACTAATCAATGTTCATAATACAAACAGTTCTATGTTATGGACGAAAATGTCTAATTTCAATAAGTTGATAAATAAATAAACCTTTTCAGTTGTAATATCATGATTAGAAATTCTTACAGTTAACCGAAATATGATCGATAAAGATATATATATATCAACAAAAGTTACTAGTCAATAGTTCAATTAAATTTTGATTTCATTCATCATTAAGTCACTAAATTACAACTTGATGATTAACAGATTGTGCATTATTGTCACTGTATTAACTGCTTACTTTAAAGGTGACTAAAATTTACACCAAATACATGTTTGATGTTTGACAGTCTATGATTAAAATTCTTTTTTTCAAA